CACAACTGCCACAGATGCCAGGAACAAAGAATACCAGCACAAAGGCTGTGCCCATATTTATGGGCTCAGAACCTGAAAGCCATGATAAGCATTTATCTTGCTCATAGCATTTTCAGGACTCTTTTCTATTTCTGCACAAGTTCAAAAAGGAGTGATATCATTCTTCCTATTAGGAAAACTAGCAACAGAACAGGAAATAGATTTATATAAAATTGGGAGCTAAAACCAATAGAGATTATTCCAAGTTCCATGCAAGCTGCACAGCTGCCTTTTGGTTAGGACTGACAAAAAAGCAGCAAGATTTTAATAAAAGAAGCAGAAGACCATAAGAGAGAAAACATTAGCTGTTTTTTCCTCTTCAAACTCATTTCACCCTTCACAATTCTTAGTTACTGATGTCAAAGCAGACTGCATCTTCTTTGATCACTGCACTGTTTCATAACCAGTTCTTATTTGAACTGCATAGGTCATTACATTCAAGGTAGACAAGCTAGAATCTCAGAATGAGCTGAGTTGGAAAGGACCCATCAGGACCACGGAGTGCAATGACTGACCCTGCACAGGACACTCCAAGAATGTCACCATGTGCCTGAGAACATTGTCCAAGCACTTCTTGAACTCTGTCAGGCCTGATGCTGTGACCTCTTCCCTGGAGAGCCTGTTCCAGTACTCAAGCACTCTCTGGCTGAAAAACTAGACTGCAATCGACTACAATATGAAGAGCTCTAAGATACTCTTCCTCCCAGTCAGGCAAAGGTTCTCTGCTGCAACAAGACAGAAAGGAATAACCCAGGGATGAATAAGAGATCATTTTCTAAGATCTGTCCAATGTAATTTCAGTTATAATGCTGAGAGCAAATGGGAAAAACAGGGAAAAAAGAAAAAAAATGTCTCTTGCAATACTCAGATTGGTTTGGCAGTGAAATTAGACCAGCAAATGCTCTCCCTTGGTCACCATTGCCTTGTTAATTTGTCTTATTTTCCTAATCTTTAGATCCTTTCCACGATGTAAACTCAAACCTACAAATGGGTTCTGGATGGCTGTCAGGACCAGACATAAATTATTTGAGTCCCTTTTATTACTACTTTTATCTATAACACTGAAAAAATCCCCATGTTGGTGCCAAATATTCCTGCTCTTATCTAGCCTCTTCAGCCTTTAACTAATACATGAATATTTGCAACTTTCAATGAAGTTGCAGAATCACAGGCTAGTAATTCAAGATCAGAAATTTCAGTTTCTGCTTTAACCAGAGAAGCACAAAATGAACTACTGTCACAAAAGTGGTCTTTCTGGAGAAGCAGCACCTCTTATCTGCTTTTATTAAATACTCGAGACTATTCACAGAAGTGTCATTAACATTTAAATGATTTCTTTTAAGTTTTAAGCATTTTAAATGTTTTTGACCATTTTAACTTGCCATCCTATCTATTAAGGTTTTCCTCTGAAACATCCACTGAATTAAACAGGAAAAATTAAAATTAGAAAAATAGTTGTCTTCTCTAATTAATAGTTAGAAATCAATCTGCTCTTGTGTTTCAGCTCCTCTGACTATCAAAAGACTACCAGGGTGCTGAGGTAGGGTTGCAATCACCTCTACCTCATCCAATCATCTGTGCTTACAGAAAAGGGAAAAGCAGGCACATGAACAATCCCAACATAGTGTATGAATTCTTCTCAACCATTTAAACCATATATTTTTATATTAATTACAGTACTATATGTCTTCATCTCAAAACACAGAACCACATCTGAAAACATGAAAATGTGGTTTTCCTCCCCTTGTATTCTGAAGTACATGGAATAATAAAAGCTTCTGTTTCCCAAAGAACTAACATTCTGAGAGGTCTTTTCAAAAACAGAACAGTGATATTATTGCAATATCTGGAATTATGGTGCAAATGAAAACTTTTAAATATTAGACAAATAATTAAATACCTTAATATAAGCAATTACGATTTCTTTCCTCTAAACAAATTGTCAATACTTCAAGTTGATCTAAACTCCATTTGTTACAAAATTTGCAGTTTTGTCAAAAAAAAATGCAGTAACTCTATTTTCTAAATAGTTTGAAAGACAGAGGGAATGTGATAGTGACCTCTTTGAGAATTCTTCCAGTGCTAAGGGCTTACGTGTGCAGATGTTTTTTCCCTTTGATAAGCCATGAATTGCTTATTGCGGGGGACTCCCACTCCATTAGCCCATAAGAATTCAAAATTTCAGTCAACTTTGACATCTCACAAAACCATTCTGCTGCATAACTCGTGTATTTTTCCTCTCCCACCTTCCAGTACACTGCTGCTCTATAAAACATTCAGGAGTCCAACTTCTCCCTCTCTTTTCAGTTCCTCTGACTACCACAAAGAGAAGCTAGCCACGGAACAGCTCCAGTTCCCAAACACAATTAGTATTTTCTTTGTCTCTGACATTGTGCCTTGTAGCTTGTTGAGGAAGAAAATGTTCTGGTGAACTAAAATATCTTCAGTAAAACACATCTTTACATATAAATTACAACAGATCCCAACCGTTTATGACTTAGATGCAGAACACTTTTAATGAAAAGCTGCTAACAGGTAAGGTAGCTGAGCTTCAATAAGAAACCTTTAGCTTTCCTTCTCTCCACACATACACACACTCAGCCTTGACTTAGATGCAGCTATTTCATTACACACAGTAAAAAGGTGCAAGTACAGTGAAATATTCTATTCTATCACAATATGCAAATGCCATGAGCATAGAGCATAAGATTATTAGATGAATCATCTGCCTGTAAACTTGGGTGTTCCTAAGTGCTTTGAGAATCTCCTGTTCTTGCAACTTACATTTCCACTATACTGCCAGGAAGTAAGATAATATCTGACTTTCTTTCTCTCCATTCCACACAGTAACATTTTAAGGAGCAATTCCTGGGAAATCAGCATTTTACATCTGCAGGCTGATAGGCTGACGTGTAAAACTTTCCTACTGCCCTTCACCATTTTCTATATTCTCTTCCCCAGAATCTTTCAGACCTGCACAGGACAGCAGCATTTCAAGATGGACCTAAGAAGTGCCACAGACAAGGAATAAGTTCATTATTGCCTCGTTTTGACTTAAGCTGGATGAGTTCACACCACCAGTGGGTACAGTTAGGGCAGCACAGCATTGATCAGTGGCTGGAAAGAGCTGTAATCTCACAAACTCATGTAAGTACCCAAGATTTTTGCATTATTAAACCACATCTTGAAAGGGCCAACTACAGTATTTGTGTCTGAGACAACAAGAGAGACTAGTTTGAGTATGATTCTTTTTTCCCTCAGGGTTGATCAGATCTAATTAACCTACCCCAGGAACACTTTTGGTACGTACTATTGATTTCATTTCATTCCTGGTACAAAGGAAGCTGAAAAGATATGTAATGCCCAATAGCTGAGCAGAAAGATGAAGTCAGAAATTTAAAGTCTCATCACTGAAGGCTCTGATTCTGAGCAAGGTACTGCATAAGCCTTGCTTAGTGAGACAAGGTTCTTCCTAACAAAGTACCCATTGGCAAGAAACATTTAAATAATAAAGTAAAACTACAGCTGCATACATTATGTTAGATGTTACAAGTTTCACTTACAAAGATGTATAAACTGCACTCTGCTATTTAAATCATGTATCAATTACTTGCAATTAAAGTCTACTTTATATATGTGCCCTGCACCAGCATCTCAAAGACCTAAGATGTCTAAGTGGACATCAGCATCATTCTCACTTGGAAGACTACATCAGATCCCTTTCAGCAGGAAAACACTGACAGACAAGAAAGTTCTGAACTCTAACCCTATAAATATTATATATTTCCTAGTATTTTTTTCTGTATTTACTTGAACTAGAAAAATAATTGGCAGACTTGTCAATATTGTAGGAAGTACATAAGAAAAACCACAGAATGATAGGTGGACTATTTAGAACTATTTAAGTATAGAAGCAACAACTGCACCTTGAAAGTGTTTACAAGTTAAATATGAGATAGTGAATAGGAGGGAGCCAAACAGCATAAAGACACAATCAACAGGAAACAATTCCTGAATATTCAGTGATCACATCAGTGTGGATATTTTGTAGTCATGACTGCAGAGAGAAGTTTTAAGCACTAAGGATGAAGAGAGAGATGATTTGGCAAGTATTTAAGTAACACCTGATAAGCAAGGAGATGTGCAGAAATATGTGGCAATGTTCCCTAATCAAGGAACACAGAACACAAGGAAATCCCACAGAGCACCACACAGGATATCACTGGCCTTAGCTCTAGGGTAATGCTAACCAGTTGTAAAAGGATCATCCACTGAGAGAAAGCCTGATGGTCTCCCAGTAACAGCAAAAGAACGAACTAAGGAAACCAGCAATTTTTTTGGTTTGTGTTAGAAACAAACTTGAGCAGTTGCTTTATGAAGCTTCTTCTAAAGCAGAGGGTTTGTCTCCCTCTGAAGTAGTTCCTTCAGAAGTGGAAGAGTTACCAAACTGTAAAACCTGTGAAGAGAGAGAGAGAGAGATCCCTCTAACAGAAGTAAAAACAAATATTCAAACTGGTTCTTCATTTTTGTTCACATGGGCTTTATTATTAATGCAGTTACTAACAATCTGAAAGATTAATACATTTAAGTGACTCCAGCAGTTTTGCAGTTCTTTCCCAATTCATACCACCGTAACACGACGAAACGCTGAGCCGCTTCAGTGCCTCGCTTTGCCAGCCGGAGAAGCAAGGGCAGCATCCACCTACCTCGCGATGGCAGATGAACCTTCTAGAGCGTTTGAAAGCAGCAGAACAAAGATGCGGGATCCGCGCACGTTACCGCCGCCCCCGCCGGCCGCCCCGACCCTTCCCGGGCGGGCGGGATGGCGATCCGACAGCCGAGCCGCCCCTCGCCCGGCGCCGCCCGTGCCCTCCCCGCCGTGGTGACAGCCCGGGGGAGGCGGGCGCGCCCCCCACCACCGCCCTCACCCCCGCTCCCCGCGGGGGCGGCTCCGGACTCACCGATCCCGGGGGCCACATAGATGAAGTAGAGGCAGGACGAGGAAAAGGAGAAGAAGAAGATGAAGGCGAGCATGGAGCGGTTGGAGACGCGCAGCACCTTCCGCAGCAGTGGCATCCTCCCGCTGCGCCGGCCGCCGGCCGCTCCGCTCAGTCCCGGCGAGCCGCGGCGGCGCTTCCTAGGGGGAGGCGGCCCGCTCCTCCCATGGATCGGGCGGCGAGAAGGTGACGAGGGGGCGAGGGGAGCTCCCGCCCTCCGTCCCCGGGAGCGGGGCTGGCAGGGGCAGCGCCGCGGCGTGCGGAGGAAGGCGGGCGGCGGCGCTTTGTGGCCGCTCCTGCTGTCTCCTCGCGGGCGGCAGCAGCGGCGATGCCCGCCCGCCTCCGCGCTGCGCCTCCGGGCGGGCTGAACCGCCGCCGGAGGGAGGGGCTCCCTTAGCGCTGCCGCGGGGCTCGGGGAACGCTCCCGCCGCTGCTCACATGCCGCTGGACGCCGCGGCCACCCGCGCTCCCGCCTGCAGTCCCCGTACTAGCGGCGGCGGCGGCCGCAGCAGCAGCAGCATCCCCGCTGCGGGCGAGCAGAGTCACCTTCGCGCTGCGCCCAGCCCAGCCCGGCCCGGCCCGGCCCGGCCCGGCCCGGCCCGGCCCCACGGCTCCCGCGCCGCCCCGCACCGGGAGGAGCCGCCCCGCACCGGGAGGAGCCGCGCGGCCGCTGCGGCGGTTGTGGCGCGCGCGAGCCCCGGCGCGGCGGCGGCACTGCGGGACTGCAGCGGGCGGGCGCGCGCCAGCCCCGCCCCCGCGGGGTTGGGCCAATGGGAGGCGAGGGAGAAGCGAGCCCGCGGCCGCCGATTGGCTGTTGCGCGCGCACCGTTGCTATCAGCGGGCTGCGGAAGGGGGGCAGGGAGCCGTGAGGCGGCTCGGCCGGGCCCCGCGTCCCGCCCCGCCCGCCCGGCGCTCCCGCTGTGTCCGGCCGGCATGCGTGCATACCTTCTCCGTGTCCAGTCACCTCGGCCTTGTGCAGAACACAAGGGGCCGGGTTTCTGTCCTGCCCGTGCCGACTTTCGAGCGCCGGTGCCCGCCCTTCCCTTCCCTTCTTCAGGTGGCGCTGCCGCTGTGCCACGGGTGGATGTCGTTGTGCTTCCAGCTGTTTTAATGCAGAGCGGTTGGAAACGGGAGTCAGGGCTGGCAGCTTCTCTCATATGAGAGGCTGCAGGAGCTGGGCCTGCTTAGTCTAGAGAAGAGGTCTGAGAGGGGAACTCGTTAACGCATGTGAACATCTCAAGGTGGCTGTCAGGAGAATAGTTGAGATATCTGAGAATGCCAGATTCTTCCCAGGGGTGCCCAGCGACAGGACAAGGAGTAATGGCCATAAACTAAAACAAGTGTCACCTCAACATGTAAAAGAGGAATAACCTCTTTACATTCAGGATGGTCAAACACTGGAGCAGGTGCCCAGGGATGTCATGGAGGCTTCCTCTTCAGAGAGTCATTTAAAACCCACCTGGATGCAGTCCTGTATAACCTGGCTTGGAAGATGGTCCCTCCCAACAATAACAATTATGTGGTTCTGTCTTTCTGTCACCCAAGAGTTCTCCATAGAGCAGAATAGGGAGCATTGCCTGAAGGTTTGGCTACACTTGTGCTTTAGGATTTGCTGAATTTAAATGTGATGATCTACACACTCCTTTACCAGTTCACTCCCAAGGCCATTGCTTTAAAATGGTATTTTTTAAAAGTTGGCAGCAGAAGCTCCATATTGATTCTCTGCTCTTTCTTGCTTTGGCAAAGAACTTGGCTGCCACAAGTTGCTGGGTGATAGGGTTAAGCCAGTAATTGCTCCGTTCCTCTGGAGAGTGCTATCATGGATAGATGTGTGCCAAGAGGTTGGCAGCAGGCCAGGTCCTGCCTGGGCACACTTGATGTGGCAGCAGGATCCACTTGCGCGAGAATCCAGGTCTGTGTTGTTAGCGTGTGTGGAGTTTAGGCAGACACAGGGCAAAAGAATGGAAATACAGAGTTGCCCCACTCCCCACAATACAATTTTGTCTCAGTCGCTACACTTGCACTATGGTTTTTATGCAATAAATATCACTAATGGCTTCATCTTGTTTCAGTAATCATCAAAGAATCATAGAATGGTTTGGGTTGGAAGGGACCTTGAAGACGATCTAGTTTCAACCATCCTGCCATGGGCAGAGACATCTTTCACCAGCACAGGTTGCTTAGAGCCCAGTCCAACCTGGCCTTGAACTCTTGCGGAGTTCAAGAGCACTTACAACTTCACAACCTCTTCCAGTGCCTCACCACTCTCATAGTGTTTTTTAAGTGTTAGCTATTTCTAATATCTATTCTAAACCTGTACTTCAGTTTGAGGCCATTCCCCCTTATCCTTTCAATACGTGCTCATCTTGTTTCAGTAATAACAGAGAGAAATTATTTTGTTCGCCCAGCACAGCTCGTGGTCAAGTAGAGCTTATCCTTTAGACTGACAGAGCAACCTTATAACTTCCTTCAGACTTGGGCAAACTGCTTCAAAACACTCTGCAGGCTGACATATCAGTATTTTTTAACCACAAATGTAAAACCTCAAGTCAGTTGACATGTAATAGTCAGAGCTAGAAATACAAAATGATTGGTTAATTGGTGAGGTAGTCACGCAAATAACTGATAGTAAAAATAAAAGCAAATGCTTACTTAGTCAAAATCTTGCTGGATGTTGAACATTTATTTGCAGAGTGGAATGCAGTACACCCAACAACAATCTACAGCCACATCATGGGCTTCCCTGATTATCACTGATGCAGAGCATAGACAAGGATTTCCCAGTAAAGGTTTTCGTATGAGAGAGAGAAATTCTGTTCCTTCAGCTCTGAAACAGAGACTTGTCAGTTATATTTTGATGGATGTTATTGCAATGAGTATCTGTGCAGGTTTTAGCTGGGATGGAGTTAATTTTCTTCACAGTGGCTCATAGGCAATATGGTTTGGATTTGGGCAGAACACAGGTTGATAATACAGATACATATTTGTTACTGCTGAGCAGGGCTTGCACAGAGCCAAGGCCTTTTCTACTTTTCATACTGCCACCATGGTGAGGGGACTGGGAGTACATGGGAGGTAGGGAGGAAACAGCTGGGACAAATGACCAAAGGGATATTCCAGACCAAATGTCATCATGCTCGGTATGCAAAGTGGAGGGAAGAAGAAGGAACTGAGGGATATTTGAAATGACGGTGTTTGTCTTCCCGAGTAACCTTTACATGATGGAGCCCTGCTGTCCTGGAGATGACTAAACACCTGCCTTCCCATGGGAAGCAGTGAATCAATTCTTGTTTTTTTTTTTTTTTTTTGCTTTGCTTGTGTGAACAGCAATTGCTTTCCCTGCTAAGCTGTCTATCTCAGGAATTTTCTGACTTCCACCCTTAAAATTCTCCCCCCTCCTCCCTGATCCTGCTGGGGGGAGGATGAGTGAGCAGCTACAGTACCAGATAGCGGGATAGACTGTGGGATGTATTTTGTCACAAAATTGTTTCTGAATTGCCAGTAACAGCTATGTAACTTGATATATGCAATTTATTTTATTGAGCAGAATGCAAAACTAGCCATAGGAATACAACAATGAACAGTTATTTACATACATTATTTAAAGTTGAAGCTTAAGCTGACAGTAATATAGGACATTATCTTGGGTTTATGGAGCAAAAATGTACTGTATTTTTATGTCTTGTTGCTGTCTCACATTAAAGTAAAATTTATTTTATATGTGAAGTGGCATTATTGCTACTTTATTTTTATGTATGAAAGCTATTGATTTACTCTGCTAACTGGAATAACTGAGTATTAATTGGCTCATGATTCTCCCACATTCCACTTTTATTAGATTTTTTTTTAATACAGTTTTAGATCTGTTTCTATGCTGTAAGCATAGGGAATGACATTAGAAGATCAATATGATGACAACTCACAGAATCTTGTCAGATACAGGAGTGAGATCCATGGTACAAGAAATCTTAAGACTGGCCTTAACTTTTGTGTGGAGGAACATTAAGTGGTGCCCTGCATATCACTGTCTCTGCATAAGTAAAGGCAAATGCCATGTCTCCAGCTCAACATGAATTTTGGTTTGATCACTTGGGCTGTTAGGAGCACTTTTGTAAGAGTTTAAGAGACTACTGTGATGAGCATGAGACAACCTGTGGAGCAGTATATTAACTCATATATATAGAAATGTTTGTGGAAACATAAAAAATGGAATTTTGGAAGATAGATGTATCATGTTTAATTGAATCTCCAGCAGCAGGACACTGCAGGAGCAGCAGCATAACTCACAGTTATGTAGATGACTTTGCACAGGTGTCTGCTCTGATCATAATACTTGAAGCCTCTTCTTTAAATATTGCTTTCTTCAGTAAAAAGATTACTGCACAATATGTAGATCCCTTCTTTGAATAATCAACAATATTGCACTTCACTTATTATTGTAAGAGGAAATTCCATTGGATGTGTATTGCTCTGCTGTGTTTCCTCTTCCAATGGAATTTCTTCAGTAGGTTCTTAAACAATTATAGGTTATTCTGAAAGAAGATGAGAACTCCTCCCTCATTCCTGTTTTTAATCTAAGCATCCCAAAGTGAATTTTCTATGGATCAGCAAGCACAAAATCAAACAAGATCTCATCAGAGCAACTGCTGCAAAACCATCAATGTCTCCAAAGCTGCTATAAAAAACACATTTGTCAGTCATTTCAAAAGTTCATGTATTTCATGAAGTCCAACAAATGCTGCTGTAGAAACTGCATATACAAAATTAACAGGTTTCCCATGCTGCATGGGCACAGTTGTGCATGACAATGTTCTGTTAACAAAACCAAGGCACTGATCTTTTGGAGAAAAGTAACAGCACTTTTTTTTTTATAGGGGAGGAGGGAGAGCTTTAGTGATTTTTTATCTGGGTTGCTTCTGGAACCCATTTATTTGAAAGAGTGACACCTCACACTATTGTGGCTTTATAATTGTGGACATAGGGTGCTGTAAGACATCAGGCAGGAAGGAATGCCAGGAAGGAATACCTTGAGGGAAGCAAAAATATCTTACACTACTGCTGTCATCAAGTGAAAGAACTGAGTCTGATGCCAGCATCACTGAGGCTGTGTCAGAGACTATGCAGGGAGGTAGAGAGTGGTGCATTGCTTAGATCATTTGTTAGAGCTGGCTGTTAAAAGAATACACATATGAATGTGCTGCCTATGTAATATCCAGTTTTGCAGTCTGCAATACAAAATTAAAAATCCACATTTTGTGCCCCGGGTCATCTGCTGCCACATGCTCGTGTTATTTTTT